ATGCATCCGATTCCACGACGATTAGCAGCTTTGGATTGTGGTACATTAGCACTCCTTCTGGACTTGATCTTGTCGAAATCTTCCTGACATTCGGTTGTCCAGCTCCTCGGAGCATCGTTCATCAGCAGTCGATTTACTGGTCGATGTAGAGCGTGCATGTACGGTAGGTAGGTACAGTAGCAACTCACCATACCGAGAAAAGATCTTACTGTCGCCTACGTCTTTAGGTGAGCATATACCTTTGGTGGGTCAGATCATCGCCCACTTTGATCAATGATAAAACCGAGGCAGTTAATGAATGTCATGAAAAACACTTGTCCATTCTCAGGTGGAATCCATACTCCTTTATGTTGTCAAGCACATGTTCTGTTTGTTGGTATAGTATTTCCTGGTTACATCTTATGATAGTGACACCATACAGGTATGCAGCGGCATGTGACATTCCGTATAATCTCGTATCCATGCTCTGTTGAACCAAATGGTAGGCGTGTGTACCACAATAGTCCTCTGTGAATGTTAATCGTTAGCAACACTCTCGATTCCCCGACATTTCCATCTGGAGCTATGCGTCGTATAAGTCCAATTTGTCAAAATGCTTGCCACCGTTCAGACGTGCAAAAGGTCTTCATGATGGGGTAGAGGTTACTTGTAGTCTACTACAACGGTATTCAGGTCTGTAGAGTCACCTACACATAGACGGATCTTTCCGTTTGGTTTCTTTACAATCACAAAAGGGGCTGCCCGAAGGGAGTATTCGGTTTGATGACTCCGACTGACTGTAGTCTGTCAAGTTCTTGATCGACAATTGAAACCACTGCATATGGAACTGGTCGCTTCGTCCGAACACTGGCTTTGAGTCTGATCGTAGGGATAAACTAGCTTTGGTTTTGGTGCACAATACCAGACCATACTGAAACACATGCGGATATTTCTTCTTTAACATCTCTGTCCGGTTCACATCTGCATCGCTTAGTATCTTGCTTACGGAACTCAAAGGAACATCAGGCATTTTCATATTGTCAATCCACTGGAGACCGAGTAGGTTCAAGTCTGGGAGCATTGCTACGTAGCAAATCCCTTCGAACTGATATTCTCTGGACATTACTGGGCAATGAATTTCACCGGCTAAGTTAAGCGGAACAGTCCGAGTTGTTCTTTGGACAATGGCTCATCGATTTTATTCGGATTTTTCTCGGATATCACCTTGATGTCTAGTTTACAACCACCGTTAGGAACCTTCTGCGCTTTGTGGCCTGTGCATTGAAGTGAGCGAAAACCAGATAAAACTGCGATGTGAGTTTAAGCAACAAATTCGCTTGGAGCTCGAGTGACGTGTAAAAACTCCCGGATCCAACCAAGAAAGGAAGCCGAGACGTTAACTAGGGTACTATTTGTGTAGGAATCAAATGCACTGTGCATATCTTAACAATACTCGTTCAGTTTCTAAGCAACGTCCAAAAGTAATACAACCCGTTCTTTCTATCCCGCATCAAGAGTCACATAATACAGAGTCCACGATCGAGCTACAACCTCCCTGTTATTAGGTCTACTAAGCCTTAGCTCATTGGTTTCTTATACAGCGTATGTAAAGAAACGCGATGGACTGGGCTCTTGAAGTGGTTTCGGGCCTCAGTCGAACTGAACTAGATGGGAGGAATCTCGAGGTATGTGTCCCTGGGACGGGAGAATGATTCAAGTCTGAGGTGTCTGGGCGGTAGGGACAGGTTGCGCAGTTTACTAGTGAACGTGGATCCATGGCAACATCGATATGAGATCACATGAGGGATAATTGGTAAGCCGGCGTTCATCAGATACGAAAGGTGTCTGGTTTGCTCATCCGAAGTGAGATCCCGACATGCGTCTTGCGACTTACGTAGTTATTACGTCGGTTGCCATGGGACATCAAGTGGGTGAGCAAATAGATGCTATGGGGCCCAGAGATAAATCACGTTATCCATCTTGCGAATTGCGTCAACAGTAGATACAAGCTTTTTGGAGTATTCAGGGGAGATGTTATTTTGAAACCAGCCGCACGACAACGATCCTCCTTGTGACCTCGTTTGTTGCACATCTGTCAAAGGTGCTTTTTCAGCAGAGAATTTCACGAAGTACTATTCCTCCACATTGCCAACTTGCCAACAGTGGTCTGTTTGACTTCACCGAGTTTGGGGCCTTCGCTGGACTTCCGCGCTGGTTTGGCACCGTCAGCACATCTACCGGACATGGACTGCGGCCTTAGGCAACCATGTTCTTATCGTGCTTCAAGCTACTTGACCTTTGACATTCAGATGTTATGACCCTGCTCAATTTTGCTAAATAAACGTGCGTATTTCAGCATCCTCTAATTCTTGGAGGCCACAAACGACAAGAAAGACCTTTACTCGATCGTACGTCATTTCATTCGGCTTGTAGCGCTCGCAATGATGGTTGACGGCAGTTGCGTGGCTTGCCAAATCGTCTGATGCGCACTTGCTGTATCCGGCACTGAATAAGGACGTCTGTTCACCAAGGATGTCCTTTTTCAAAAGTAATAGTTTGTCAAAACTAAATCGTTTTGACATTTTGGTTAAATACGATTGAGAAGCTTGCCGTGCTACTTGGTTTCCAACAAAAAGCCTACAGCATCAGTAAATTCAGACCGGAAAACATCTTCCTATCTGCTGAATCAGAATTCGAAGGTCAGACCGGCATCCGGGACATACTGGAAGTATGAATCAATATCAGAAATCAGTTCAGGGTGAAGAATTCTTTTCGGTAAACTCTCATCGGACCCAAACGTTTACATAACACTGGTTGTGTGGGGTAAGCGTCAACTCGGTCTGGGATTGACTTCTGAACTGTTTGAATGATCAAAATCGATAACTTGAGACAGAGGTAGAGATGGTAAACTGAGTAAACTCAATAAACATGCATACGCAAAGCTCAGTAGTCCAAAGTAATTAGCTAGGTAAGAGGACAGCCAAACAACTAAGTAACACTGTCCGTTGGCCCAGGCGGTAGTATCGGCCGTATGAAGCGCTTTTGTACACATAATTCCGGCTTCAGATGGTGGATGTAGATAGCGTCGGCGATGGATAAGGGCTGTTTGCGGAATCCTTGGGAGTAGTGTTCAGGTAGTGAGTAGATGACTTTGAAGTCATTCTCTGAAGCTGTATGGCCACATTCAAGGATGTGCGACATGATTGAGCTGTCTGAAGACCTCATTTCACCTTTGTAAAACCATGCCGGGATGTGTTCACGAATCCTCTGAGATAGGCGCCTCGTCGTGCGGCCCATGTATCGTGTACCACAGGAGCACGAGTACTGATAAACGATCATTGAACGGGTCACTAATGCTGTTAGCGACTTCATCCACAAATGACTGCTGCTTTTCAATTCTTGGTCTTGATTGTATTGCAGGACACTAGAAAATATTTTTTTGGTCAACCTTGTTTGGCCTACTTCAAATTGTTACTCTAGACATCGACGTATTGTGGTGAGCTCCTCCAGTGAAAACGGCGTCTTCGGGTTTTCCGTCGCCAAGTTGTTATAGTCACCATTTTCTCGTCGGGTCGCTCTAATTTGCTGTTAGAAAAACTGGTCACTCCGATTGACCAATCAGGAAGGCAAGATTTCAGGTACCTATTTCATGACAGTCAGAATACGCGAAATTTCCCTAGCGCACACTACCGTTATTTATATGTTCTGTCCTTTATTTACCAGTAATTGTGTTGGGTTGTTCGAGACCATCATCATCATTACATGTTAACTGAGGGCGAAAAACCTCAGTTATTGTGCCGCAATACCAAATACACAAAACTTAAAATGCAAGTACTGTGATGCTCAGTATCATGTTATACATTGAATATGAGATCGTGAGTGAAGTGGAAGCTAATAGAAAAGTGAACGAACAAAGGAACCTTTTTTAGGCGACCAGTGCGATTAGTCTGCTTGGGTTCTGGTCCATTTATGTTTCACACATCCATTCCTTAGTAGGTGCTCCTAACAGATACTTTCCAGCTGCCCATTCCGAGGATGGGGTAGTGTTCGACGACCCAATCTTGACTTTTCCTCAACAGTCTGAGCTGCAAGACAATGGATACATGGTAGGTCGCTTGAGGGACTCCACTCGGAGCTTCTGCCTTTATAGCCTGACTTACAAGGCAGTGGAGAGCAAGTCAAGCTCAGGCGTTCGATTGCGAAGGCCTGTTGCGATCTGTCACACGTAGCTTTCGAATATTTAAGACGATTCACATATATTTTTCGACCGTATTATGTTACGTACCTGCGATACGTCCAACCGCAGGTGTGAGTTGGCGATTTGCACCAGTTTGACCAAATATTCTATGACTTGAGGCGAGCAGTAGCAAACGATAGAGCACCAGGAGGTACCATCCAACCGTCAGAGACTGTGTGGCACTCCTGCTCTACGCCAATTGAGTTATGAGCTTATAACTCGTATGTCTCTCTTTAATTACCCTAGACTTGTTTCCAGTGATTAGGTTTTAAGGCAAGAGAGCCATCAGTCTCTCTCTAATCGAAAGAAGTGTGCGACTAAATTAATCCGATCTCTAAGCATTGACTTGTTTGGCACGAGTGGTTCTGAAGGCACTTGTAAATGCCACCCAGCGTAACTCGGTGGGTCACAAAGATACGCATACCATCGCACCACGCTAAGGTCCAGTCTGCTCGTGATGTTACCGATAACTTTGCGCAGCGATTTAAAAGTTGTGTTAAAATCCCTACTGTGCAAGCGTTCTGGTTCCGAGGCTTATCAGTTATCACCGAACTCTCACAATGGCGACCATTCTACTGCTGTGGTACAATCAGTTCGCAATCAACTTGACGCTTGTAGCCCAGTCGACTAACGGACGCACTGTGCTTACCAGCATTGGCACAACGATGTTTACACTTCATTTTGCTCGCATCTAAAGGCCATTTGCTTTCTCGCTATATTACTGATTGACGAACGGAAGTATCGGCCTTCAGTCCATTGTGATGTCACCATATTTTCTTTTCAGATACTGGATCTCGCTCCAGACAGTGACAACAATGCAGAGAGTAGTCTGTCTTGGTCTTCCTATCCCCTGTAAAATTCGACGAACCCTCTGAGTGACGCACGGGAATTAACCTTTCCACAGTTTTGTTTTGGGTACCGTTGCTGGTGCTGGCATATTTGCATAGCTTCTGGGTGACCCACGAACAAAGGCCGTCGAACATCACAGGTAATTCGTCCCGGCCAAGAGATTGTATGCACGGCGACATCGCGGAATAATCTCCGTTTCTCCGACTACACAAACGCACTTGTTGCAAGAGCTTCGATCCTCAGTTAGCCACTCATGCGCGCATTCGCGCCAGATGTTTGTTCTCCTACTCTTAGCATTTATCGCCTCTAGTCGATTTTTAATTTTTCAATTCGTTCTACGCAACTGTTGTCGTGCTCCTCGTGCGCGCATGTCTCGTTCAGCGAATGTGATTTTTCCAAAATCAGTTGGTCATTTCCCTCTTTCCTCGTTTCTTTTTATACCTGTGCTTCTCATTTCTCAGCTCACATGCACATCGCGATATCGTGTTCTTTTGTACTTACAGCATTTGCGACCTACCCATGCGTCGCTTCGCATCTTCGTTCGTTGTCCATTACTGAACGCCGTAGTATTCACCATCCTCATCTCTGTGGGGCGTCATTTTGTACACTTGTAAATTTCCCACTCGCTTATGAACTCCGTGCAATTGGTATATTTACTACGGTTGATACACTAATACAATGAGATTGCTTTGTTTCTTTATGCGAATCCGTTTCCGCACGCACACAATAAACCAAACGACAACTAATTTATGTTCACTTTCCATATAGTTTCCTGTTTGTTACGCAGCGTTTTAGCCCTGCCAACTACCTGCACTCGCTTTTCGCCTTTCATCATTCCTCGTAGCCAACACCGCATACATCGATGGGTTTCGTCCCGGTTATGCTTTTTGCGCCATTCAAACCGCTCGAACGGCTTATCCGTTGCGTTACCCGCCGTTGAAACGTCCACTCGCGGATCCCGGTAGCTTTGTGTATCATTGACCGACAGTCGCGTAAACAGTGATAATTCTGTACTCTATCTGTAATGTCTAAAAACGGGTGATACAGATCTTATGAGGCAGCTTTTTAAGTATTCAACAGTGTCCCGCTATTTCGGATTTGAACCCGGGGATTTAGAAGGTAACAATTTACTTGTATACGTCTTGCGAAGGTGCAGCGTCTCTCTGTTAGGAGGTGATCACCTAGCGAATCATTTAGGAAGCTCAATAAATAACCAACTCATTGCATCACCCGCGCCACAGACAGACCATGATTATACCTTTTAACTCTAAGCGCACGTGTACTCCATTTTCCAGCAATTTGCACCCATAGTACAGTCGAAATGATGCTTACTGGACTCGTTTGACTGGTCAACATAGTCCAAAACACATTCAAATTCCATCCTGTTTAGGCACACGAACATAAATGCGTACCGCTCGTTTTGACCAATGGCAAATCAGCCGATAGCATTCTAGCACGTTTGCACAGCATGTCAGGTGCAGAGCGATCTCGCTTTGTGAAGTACTCTTGAGTAGTGGATTTTTGAAGTAGTTAAGTGAGGTTCATCACAATCAGCTTCCAAATCAGATAGTCGTCCCCATGCCCGAAAAAGCACTAGACTGCAGTTTCAGCCTGTTGGGCGTCATCAGTAGTGCGCATCCATCAGGATTCGAACCCATGACCACAAGCGGCTTGCACTGTCAGTCAGCAGCTTATGCCACGGGAACATCTTCGGACCGTCAAGATTTACAAACTAACTTATATAGAGCTTCTTATCCTCCACTGCCATGCAAGTTATGAACGTTGCAGAAGGGAAATGTTTTGCCAGCAGCGGTTACTCCGAGGCAGGCCTACGCAAGGTAGGAGACATCCGCGTGGGCGGTAGTTGAGGCATCGCTTTTCGAGCCTAGGCCGTCCTCTGGTCTAGGCGCGCATAGTCCGCACGCGTTGGCATTGGACAGTATGGTGTGGGAGCAGGTACTGCCTCCCGAACCGGTGCAAATTACGAAGCCTGTGACGTAGGAACAAGCCGAAGTCAGCACAGTTCCGGAATAAACACGCACACAGACGCTGCAGTGGACATAACTGGAACACAGTGCCAGCACATGAGTGATTGGGGGCGCGATCGGTCCCCTTGTTTGGCTGACTATTTCTCCAAAGTCTTTATTTTGTCCGACAGTTTAGATGCGAGGGCAGAGAAATAAGCTTCCGGATATACAGTACACATATTAGGTGCAGATGACCTGACAAGAAACATGTGAGCTGTAGACAATTCTGAACACTGTTCAGTGATTTCAACTCAGGGAACGCTATATTAGCAGCACAGCTAACAAGTCGAGGGTCGCTATACTCTGACTGCAAGTATACAACTCAGTCGATGTTAACGGAGGGCGATGATTTTCTATGACTGCAAATGTGGTTTAAAGCAGCACCAAAGTGTCGAGCGATTGCGTGCTGCGTTTGGTGATGGTGCGCCTTCAAGAACCACCTTTGCAGCTTTCTTCAACTTCACCAGTCCGAGTTCTGATTGAGAGGGTGGATCCAAAAGGGCAGCCCGCGAGACAGGTCGATCTGTGGCCGATGAGAAATCTGGTAATTCCGACCGATTAGCTGTACCCGCGGACGTCGCGGATTTTTGGATCAGCGTGTCCTGAATACTACTTTTGCCTCAGATTACTGTGTTATCAGCGTTTTATCAGTGTGAATTGTGCACCAATATTTTTCCTTTGGCGTAGTTTCCAAGCGGTGCAAATTAGGCGGCTATTCTTTTGCTACTTAAGGAGATCTGATTGATTTGCCACACTGCCATCTCTGTCCGCCATCTTGGATTTGCTCTAGCTTGTGATGCCGTCTCAAGCTACTTGTGGTTCGTCTTCGAAAGTTGTGGGAAATAAGGCTCATGCACTTCGATGCTTCAGCTGTGATGTTTTGTTCCATATTTCGTGCATTGGCTTATCCGTTGACGTGTTTCGAAAATCGCTCGACTTCCGACATCGTTTTTTTCAAGTTATATGTGATAAATGTCGCGGTACAAGACATCAGAATACACAGAGACCGCAAACAACTATGGGATAATTTCTGTTTTAGATAAAAACAGACCGTTCACCACGTGGGATCAAACGCCCTCGTAAATGTACCTCTGTCACCTCGCCTTCTATTGTCACGCCGCGATCTGCACCACCACCAGCGTCTTCAACCCCGGCCGAGCCCCATGTTCAATGTTCCCCACCGATGGAAGACTCAGACTCGGAAGCTACGCAGTGCCGCTTCACTGATCGGTCCGTGAATTTCTCAGAGGCTGTCTGGGAACTTCTGAACACCGAGGATCCATGGACCACTCAAAAGCGCAAAGGCTCACGTAATCGAGTTCAGACGTCACCTGCTGATAAACAGCAACCCAATCAGTTAAGCGCCTCTAGTTCTGCTCCCACAGGTTCATCACTGATTTCGTTGAGGCGTCATGATCTCATGGTCTTCCACGTACCAGAGTCAAAAGATGCAAACCCTCAGATACGTTATGATCAAGATGTTGAGTTCCTCCAGTGGCTCATCGATAGACTCTTAGATGTTGGCGAAGACAGTGTGACGATTAAACAAGTAATCCGACTTGGCCAGAAAACTAACCAGTCATGTCGACCTCTGAGAATCACCTTTGCAAATCCCAATATGCCGCAGCTCATACTGTCTCGTCTGTCAAGGCTGAACGGCATAAAAGTTCACATCCGCCGAGACTTGGAACCCGGAGACAGGGATCGTTTAACAACTGCGATCATTGAGCTCAAACGCCGTACAGAGGAAGGTGAAACTTACAAATTGTAAATTTTCGGGTGATCAAGAAGGGTGTACAAACCCGTATCAATCTTTTGCTCAACCTCCAGGCACGTCCCGCAGGACCTCGTGTGGCATTCGCCAACGTGTGCAGCCTAATGAACAAACGTGACGAACTGTGCCGCTTCATTGTCTCGGAGCGGCCGGACGTTTTAGGACTTGCAGAGACTTGGCTGAACTCCGACGTAATACTCCAAGAAGTCGTGTTGTCAGGATACTCTTGTTTCCGATGCGACCGAAAATCAAAGGCTCACGGTGGTGTTCTGTTGTACATAAAATCGTCACTATCTGGCAAACTTACCAGCACCTATCGGAGCGAGGATAGTTTATGCGAGCAATTGTGATGCACAATTCGCTTCAGGCGCGCAGAACTAATAGTGGGGGTTATCTACCGGAGTCCACTAAACCGCTGTTGCGATTGGCTACCACATGTACAGAAGCACATGAGCCGCCCTCAATTCTTACTGATGCGGGATCTAAATTTACCTAAGATAATTTGGCCAGACGTTCGACTTCTTCCCGGTCTTGGCAACGTTGAGGCTCAATTCGCTAAAATGACTACTGAAATCGTGGCAACGCAACATGTCATCCAACCGACGCCCGAAACTCCTTACTCGGCATCTTGTCTGGACTTAATGTTTACGAGCTGCGAGCCGAAGCTGAACGAGATCAGAGTCATGGAACCTCTGGCGAACAGTGATCACTGCTCTATTGTAGCAAGCTTAGAACTGTCGTTACCATATTACAATCAACGGAAGCCGACATTCAACTATTGGAAGACGGACTTCAACGGGCTCGTCCAAGCTGCAAGTCAGACTGATTGGACACTACCACAGGATGCGTCACTTGAGGTCTGTTGGTCATTAGTGAAAGGGAAGCTTAACTCGCTCTGTACTCGGTTCGTGCCCCTTAGGTATTCAAAAATCGGACTTGTCAAACCGCATTGGTTTGATAGGGAATATAGACAGTTAGCGCGACGGCGTCGCAAAGTTTGGGATAGATACATCAGCTCGGGTTGTGATGAAGAGTACACGGTGTACAAGAAACAGCGTAACTTATGTAACGCCGCAAAGATCAAGAAACGCCGACAGTTCGAAGAGAAGCTAGCATCTTCGGCCACAACTGCACCCAAGCGAATATTTGCCTACTTGAAACGTCAACTGAAACATGGGGCGACCTACCGCTCTTAGAGAGCTTAGACGGAAAGATGCTCATTTCAAGCGCGGACGCCTTGGCTACGCACTTCCTCACTTTATTTTCCAGTAAACCGGCGGCAGTTTCAATACCGGCACAGGTTGCGCCAGTCTTGCTCAACAGCGTACAATGTGATGCAGTCGAAGTGTACCAGCTACTCGTTAACCTCGATGGTGCAAAGCCCTCCGGACCAGACGGACTTCACCCACTAATACTCAATTCCCTATCGATTATCATCTCACCAGCCGTGACAAACCTATTCAATAAATCGCTCTCTGAAGGATCCGTCCCGAACGACTGGAAATGCTCGATAGTGAGACCGCTTCCCAAGGGTGGTGCTCCGAGTAAACTAGAGAACTATAGACCGATCTGTTTGACTTTGGTATTATCCAAAGTGCTCGAGAAGGTTGTGAAAAAGTGTCTGCTGTCGTTCTTCGAATCGATGGACGTATTGACGCCAGCACAACGCAGCTTTGCGAAAGGGCCATCCTGCATCACCAACTTGAGGTACGCAAACCTCCAGTGGGTACGAGCTCTCAACGAACGGAAGGATGTTGACGTGGTGTACATCGACTTCAGTAAGGCGTTTGACAGTGAACCACGATGTACTCCTTGGTAAACTGAGTTCATGCGGAATCGGTGGCACTTTACTTCAGCGGTCACACGAATTTATTGTGGGACGAAAGTTTAGAGTACAGGTCAATGACTACCTGACAGACTGGTTCCCGTCGACTAATGGCGTGCCTCAAGGAACTGTACTTGGGCCAGTATTATTTCTTATTCATATCAACGATCTTCCACAGCGGCTCCAGTCACCGTGTGCCCTGTTTGCAGATGATTTGAAAATGTGGAAGATCGTTGAGAACCAGGACGACTGCGCTCGCCTCCAGCATGACTTAGAGCGACTGTCAACGTGGTCCACTGAAATGCAACTCCCTCTTAACGCAAGCAAGTCGGAGTTCATCAGTATCACCAGACGTCCAGCCACTTGATCATACACCTTGGAGGTCCAGTTGCTCCATCCCAACACCTCTGTCAGAGACTTAGGAGTT